GCTTGGCTTAAAATCTCAGGATTTTTATGATGGTTTAACTGAACTCACATTTGTTCAGGTGCTTAGAGCAGTGTGGGGTAGATAATAAACAGGACAGTAAGTGTTTATTACAGACAATAAAACAGAAAAACCAGCTCTGCAATCTTGGACATGTCACTAATCTTAGTCTTTCTCTGACCTCTACCTGTCTTAAGCATTGAATGAGATAAGGAATAAAACATAGAGCCCAGTGTCTGGTTCTTCATAGGCACTTAATGTGTCATTCCCTTCCCTGTGTTGCTTACTCTAAGTGTAGGAATTGATATAAGATTGGTCAAGGTATTTGTTGATGGCTTTGCTTTACATTGGAAAATGAATATCAGGCTGAACAGAAAGTTTTCAGTGATAAATAAGATAGTGAGCTGGAGGGTCAACAAGAACCAAGAATGGGAAGAAGCATTTGGCATAATGGTGAAGAAGAGGCTTGAGATGCCCACATGCCACATCTGAGGACCAGGTTTGAGTCCTCTCTGGATATCAGCTTCCTGTTAATGTGCCCTGGAAGGCAGCAGATTGCGGCTTAAGTACCTAGGGTCCCTGCAATCCATATAGGAGACCTTGACCCAGCCACAGCTGTTGTGGTCATGTGGGGAGTAAACCAGTGGATGGAGTCGTGTTTGACTATTTCTGTCTGTCTGTTTCTGCCTTTCAAATAAATAAGAATAATAAATTTTAGACCATTCAAATTTTTAAAAAAGACCCAAGAACAGGTCAAAATCGGGGACACTTAATCTTTAGGTGAGTCCCTAAAGCAGCAGCCCTTGCTTCTCCACCCTCCATGAGCCATGAAGGAGCCCCCAGGGGCGAGGGCAGCTGGAACCTTCCGTTTGGGGTGAACCCCTATCTTCCCAGGCAGATGAGGAGAAGCTGTAGCCTCGCCTCCATCTCATCGCCTCTTCTAGCTCTTTTTCCCTGGTCATCCCTGTGGAGGCACAGTCAACAGCAAACCCCAGGCAACAAAAGATACCCTCATTCTTGCTGGTCCCCAAATCTGCAGCTGACAGTGGCTTGTCTATGACTAGCCTGGCTTCCTGTACCAGGTTCCTGCACTCTCTCACTCCACAGTGATACCTGAGTTGCCCGAATGGGCCGATGCCTCAGGAGCACCCAGCTCATCCTCCTTGGCCTAGAAGGTTTGCTGGGTGGCTCCCTCATCTCACCTCAGATAAGGTTTGATTTGGAGTTTGGATTGGGATCGTATTGACTCCAAGGATCAGTTGGAGGAGAAATGAGACTCTTACTGAGTCTCCCAATTCATCAATATATTTCTTATTAGTTATGAGTTTTTCCAAAATTCCTCTCTATAAAACTTTATAATCTTCTCTGTAGAGATCTTAGTTACTTTCTGCTAGACTTATTCTTAGGCAATAGATAATTTTTTCAAAAAGTTATTTATGTTATTTGAAAGTCAGAGTTAAAAAGAGAGAGAGAGAGAGAGAGAGAATATTTTGCACCCAACTACTCCAAATAGCTGCCACAGTCAGGGCTAGGCCAAGTTGAAGCCAGGAGCCTGGAACTCCATCTGGGTCTCCCACATAGGTGTCAGGGAGCTAGGAACATGGACCATTTTCCACTACTTTCCCAGGCACATTAGCAGGGAGCTGGATAGGATGTAGAGCAAAAGGGACTTGAACTGGTGCTTATATGGGATGCTGGCATGGCAGATGATGGCTTAACCTGCTGCACCACAGTGCCAGCCCCAGTAGATGATTTTTATTACTTAGAAAGGATATCTCAAATGATTTTTTTTCCTGTATTGGCTGATGAGTTTCAGCTTGTGACAGGAGGACAAGCTAGCTGTTTTGTTATCCATAGAGCAAAACTTTCTCACACTGACTCATGTGGGACCCAGGGATCGTCCAGTTGCTTACAGGTAGCTATCTCCCACTTCCAAGGAAGGTACTTCTTTTGCATTGCCATCAGGTATTCGAATCAGCACTACCGTTGTCTACCCCACTCTCTTCATGCTGTCTCCACAGATTATAGAAGTTTTGTTGCAGACTGAAGCTTTCTACATTGATTTATATTCACCTGTGTTTGTCTGTGTGTGAACAGGATGAATTCAAGGAATTGGGCATTTGGATTTAGGAGTGAATCCACTTTCCATGGAGTTATGGGAGAATGGATAGAAATGAAGAGATCGGGAACATCAACCACCATGAAAGCAGTGAAAAAAGGAAGCAAGAGAACAAACTGGCCAACTGATGGATCAAGCAACCAACCAAGCACGAGACTAAAATTAGGATACAGAAGAAAACCTGAGCAGTGACAACTTGGATAACTTCTCCCTGACTACAGTTTTGTCAGCCTCCTCCATCCTTGCTGCCTAATCATGCTTTCACAGCTAATGCTTCCAAGTATGAACTCACTGCTCTGGTGTACCAACAACCATGCCAGTGATGTAAACATGCAGAACTGGAGCCTGGTGACGGGTGAGCTAGGACAGCTGCAGTTCACCTCGTTCAGGTCACTGGTAAGGGCCCACTCATTCTGGGGACAGATCCAGTGAGAGATTTCCACCAGTGCTCAATGGTTTCTGGTTTGGCTTTCTGCCTGTTTGGGGCTGTTCTTTCTTAAGGGAAGACATAGCTTAATGAAGATTCAGGAGACCTGGCTCCCCTCGGGGCTCTTCCCAACTCCCAGCCTTTTCTGGCCAACCAGAGACAATGGCCTTTACCATCTATTGCCAGAAGTCCCTTTGGAAGAATTAACAGGAAGATTGAGCCAGTTTATTCTCTGCTTATGGCATAGATTGACCCTGGCATGTGGGAAATGCAAATGGTCCCAGGAGGCTCTCTACCATCTTTAGAAAGTCTTTCTTATTTTGCTTCCTCTTCTTCTTATTACAGAAAACTAGAGACTGAGGCCACCAGGGGACACTTAGAGTTGAGGCCACCCCAACTGGCTACTTCCTAGGAAACTAGTTTGTTCCTTGATTTGCAGGACGTAGGTAGAAAGTGTTTCAGGCTGTGGTTCCTGCAGGGTCAATTTCATGTGCTTCCTGGGGCAGGGTGCCCCACCCACCTCCTGTGCTCGTGAGACCTGATTCAGAAAGCCATTGCTAGCCTCTGTAGGCCGCCTTGGGCACCCATCAGCAGAAACACAGCTGAGTCAACTGTGGGGTGACTCAAGGCTTTGAAATATTTAAACCATATGTCCCATGACAGTAGATGAAATGATGCCAGTTTCCTACTGAGACGCTGGCATCTGAGACTAAAGCTCAACTTGGCAGTGATTCTGCATTCCTAGCCTCACTGGGTCATGCTGCTGTGGGTGGTGAACCTTCCAGTATTCCTGGAGTCTGGGACGTGGAATCTGGACATGTGTCAAAAGAGAGAGAGACTACAGGCCTTATAGAAGGCACTTCAATGGTCCTTCCTAGGTTGGGACCCTAAGACAGAATAGTCTTGAAGGGAAAGTGAAAAAGAACTATTTTCTTCTCTGGAGGAGGTAGGACAGTACCAGTGTCATCACCCAGTGATGTCCATTCGGAGTCTTCTCTGAAAATTAGCCAACGCTCCTAGGCGTTCTTTGAGTGAGGAAGAGACAGCATTGTAAGAACACCATCTCATTTGTCTTCTAAGTTGCTCGAAGGTTATTTCCTTTCTTTCTGAGACATCCCCAGGAGAGCACTTGACATTGAAAAGCGCTTGCTAACAGCTTGGTGTGGTGGAAAATATATATCCACTGTAAAGTCAGAGGGACTAGGCTCTAGCCTCAGTTCTTCCACTTCATAATAGTGATGTAATTAATGTCAGGCACTTAATTGCTGCAGCCTCACCTTCCTCCTCCCTGCAGTGGGGATGTTAACACCCATCGCACAGTGATGTGTGGAGGGTTACATGCAGTGATGTGTGTGCAGGACACAGAAGGCTACGGACATCTTGTTACTGAACATGGATCCAGCAGCCCAAGAGGACCCTCCACCTCCTGTCAATTCTGGGATGTAAAACTTTAAACAGAAAATAGATACATAGCCACAAACTCTTCTTTTTTGCCTCCCGTTGATCTGTGTTGTGGCTGTGAGGAGCAGCAAGGGATGCAAAGAGAAGGCTCAGAAAGCTCAAGTCAGTAAGTGCACGAGTCACGCGGAAACAAGCCTTCCTCTCCACTGCTCCAGAGGGTGCTGCAGTGGCTGGGAGGCACTGGGCTGCTGCGGGCGCCTCCCTCTGAATCCCAGGCCGGTGCTGCCATGACTGATCTGTCTACAGAGGACAAAGGGGAAAAGCACTGCTCACAGCAGTCTGTTTCCCCTAGACCCAGGGACAGTGAGAGTGAGGCAGGCTAGGAAGGGCACAGATAATCCAAAGAGACAGAGAATCCAGTCTTCCCTACTTGACCTCTTCCAGCACATGGTTCTAATCTTCTCTCCCCTGCATGTAGCAGAGAAAACTTACGGTACCTATTCTTCCTGTGTTGGAAGGTAGGTATAAGGGATGGTGAGGCAGGGAACTGCTAGAGCCTGGAGGCTGCATCCCTAAGCCCTGAGCAAAGGCAGGCCTGGCTGAGGTTTTCCGTGAGGTTGATCTGCAGAGCCAATAAAAAGGGAGGAAGGCAGGACAGAGACTGTGTGGAGGGGAGGCCTGCAGAGGTTTGGTTTGCCATTCTGTGGGCACTACATTTTCTATCTTATCTCCTAGGGCTTGAGGCCAGGCACAGGATGGGAAATGGAAGGAAAAGGGCCATCGCCTGTCTCTCTAAGCAAAGGCTCAGCTCAGGCAGGAATCTGCTTCCTGTGACACCAGTCATGGCCAAGACCTCAAGTGAGAATCTGTTTCAAAAAGTTGGCCTGGCCTAACTCTTGGCAGGTGTAGGCGTTGGAGCCTGTACTGTGGGAGAAGGGATGTCGTCACTGATGACGGCCCCTCCCTCACTCTGCTTTTCTCAATGTCTGCACTCCATAGCTCCTTCCTGTCCATTCCTCCAACACCTGTGAACCGGACACTTTCTCAGAGGCCTACCTTGGGTTTGAAGGCAATGAGCTTCAGGATCATTTCCACGGTGAAGAGGCCGGTGAAGAGCATGTTGAGGATGTTCATGGCGATTTTGAACAGGCAGCTCTGGCCGTAGTGCTGAGTGGAAGGGAGGAGAGGAACCATGAAGGTGAGGCCTGGGTAGCCCTACTCCTCACAATGTGCTGTCCAGTCTCTGTGGAGGCCCTCATCTCAACTGAGACCTTCTTTGGACAGAACCCCCCCCCCAAAGGCCACGCAGCTGCCTGTGGGTAGCCAGGTGGCAGGAGCCTAGGGAAGGAAGAATCCCCTCCTTTTGTACTGGGAACAGCCTGGTAGAGTTCTGTGCTCCTTCTCTGGTTGGTTATGATGACTTTGTGGAGACTTCTGACACTCCAGAGGGCTCAGGCACAAGCTGAGGCGCCTGAATGCAGGTGGCACTAGGGTGACCCTTCTTGCCCCCCCTGCCTTACTGACAACAGTGAGCACATGCGCTCAAGGCCTCTGTCCTCCACCTCCACCACTTCACCAACGCAGGGGCTTATGGATGCTTTCACAAGGTCTCAGAAAGGAGCTCACCCTCGAGAAGGGACCTGGGCCTTTCGTAGGGGAAGAGGCAAGCTCTTTTTCTGCCTCTCTTTGCTATCGGGGAAGTGACAAACTGAGATGGTCATGCAGCTCTTTCACACTGTACAGCCTCCCATGGCATTCTCCCATTGCAGGCCCCGTGGGAGCAGACTCCCCCCTGGACTGACCTGCATGGCCAAGCAGATGGTGTTGAGCAGGATGAGGACGAACATCAGGTACTCAAAGTAGGTGGAGTTGACCACGTACCACACTTTGTACTGGTGCTGGTTCTTGGGGATGTACCTCCGCAGGGGCCGGGCCTTGAGGGCATATTCCACGCACTGCCGCTGGGAGGGAGGCCGCGGAGGGGTGGGGTGGCAATGGGAGAGAATGGGGTTAGTCACCTGCATGATGTGTGGGGGGTGGCACAGAAGGGCGCGATGTGAACGAGTTCTTGCACCTCTGGAAGTCAGAGAAGGAATCTAGCTGGGAAATGTTCTGGTTTTTTCCATCACTCCCTTAATCAAGACAGAGTCCTTGCCGGTCAAATCTCCTTATCTATATCACAGGTAAGGAGCACACATCTCCTTGTTTCAACCTGGTAATGTCTGCAGGGAGTCAGCATGTGGTAAATACTTACTCACTACCTACATGTTCCCATGAACTATGTCACAGATTTTCCTGGGGGAACCTCTTGCCTTGATTTTTCTTTTCCATCCTGAATCAACCCTTCTCATTGGCCAGTGTCCACGAGGTCAGACGACAAAGTTTACTGATGGGGAGGAGCCCTGGGGTTAATGAGGTTCCTGGGATGCCAGCAACGGCCTAGTCTATTTCTCTGCGCTATGCCTAGATCCCCAAATCAGGCAGCAGGGAGTCACCTCGGCCTCACCCTCACCCTCCACATCCAGCCCCCAAGCCTTCCCGATTTCACCTCCCTGCATCTTCTCATCTGCGCTGTCGCTCACCTGAGCTGGACCAGGGTCTAACCATCTCTTATCTACACTTTCTAATCGGCCTCTCTCTTTTTCTTATCTTCCTTCCAGTCCAGAGTCCACCTAGAAGTCTAAAGGATGAGTCTCAAGCTGAGATGTGGAGGCCAAAACCCACAAGGGGTTATTTGGGCTTCATTAGGGTAGAGCCGGGCTCAGTGTACTGCACTCCCTCCTCCCTTCCGTGTAGTCCTCAGTCCCAGACAGGGTTCTATTCCCGCCACCAACAGAGTGGGCCTCTGAGTGGGACTCTCGCTGGGGCGCTAACTCCAGTGACTGCACTTGCATCCCACCTGCAGAGCCCTGTTGCTCGCCAATGGAGCGGTCAGCCCCTTGCAAAGGCTAATAAGGGAGCCCGCCACGGTGCCTGGCAGCACAGCTCTTCCCACTTAAGCCTCCTTGCTGTCCCCTTCTTGCACTGGTCTTTATGATTGACTTGAGTAACCATTTGAGAGTGGTTTCCCAGAGCAGTTTTCTGCTTCACACACCAACAACTCTCAGGACTCTCTCGTCCTCATTTCCTCCCTCTTCATCTAACCACCTGGGTGCTTTCTAGCTCGTCCATGTCTAGACAGGGTATAAGGACCCCCCCGCCCCCACAGAGCCCATCTGACAGTCTCCTTAAGTAAAAACTTAATGAAAATGTGTTGTGGAATACATTCACTGTGTCTGAGATTTGTGGGACCCGCAGCCCTGTTCTGGTTGAGAAGAGAACAGGTGACCTTGGCATTCACATGGATCTCTGCCTAGACCGTGGCCCCTTTCTCAGTAGGAGCTCAGCTGTGCCCATGGCTTTCGTGGGCCCTGCTTTCCCTGTGCCTTCCTCCTCCCCTCCTTGCTGGGGAGCTACCTGGTTCTTGTCCAGCTCACAGTTCTTGTACTCCTGCTCCCCCTGCTCCTGGAAGGTGACAATGACGAAACCCACGAAGATGTTCATCATGAAGAAGGCGATGATGATGATGTAGATGATGAAGAAGATGGAGATCTCCACTCGGTAGTTGTAGATAGGGCCCTTGTCTTCCGTGTGGGAGTCGATGGAGCGGTACAGCAGCCTGGAGGAGGAGACAGGCCCCACAGAGGGACGTGGAAACGCAGTGTTACCTCTGTAGGAGGATAGCACTGCTGCCCCCAGGGTCCCTGGGATGGGGGTACCAGCAACAGCTCAAGGCTGGGGGGCCAGGTCTGGGCTCCGGTCCCAGCCCTGTCACTTTCTGGCCGTGTGACCCTGCAAGCATCAGTTAGCCTCGTTGAGCCTCAGATCCTTCATCTTTAAAATAGAGACAATAATCCCTGGCGTTCCTGCCTCGTGAGTTAGTGACAGAATGCATATGAAACCGGAAAGAACTGCACCATGAGCCATGGACATCAATTTCAAATGTGGAAAAACTGGTAAATATTGAGACAGCTTTGCAAACTGGCACAGACTCAGAGGATGTCAGGGAGAACGTGAAATAAATCTAGCTGAGAGCAAATACCCATGGAGATAAAATTACTCACATTTCCCACAAGCTTCAGATCATGAACACGGGCTCGGTTTCATCCTTAGGCAGTCCCACTCATCAGGGCCTGGGCTGTGTGCCCAGTTACGCTGGCTATTCTGCATGGCCAGGGATCATCTCCTTGCCTTCCTTTGTGCCTGGCACAGTACTTGGTTATTCTCTAGGTATCACCTACAGTGACTCACATATAAGATCCATGTGCTGTCACTGACTCAGAATACTGAGATTTTTCTGACACTTTGATTGTAACTTCCCTGGAATACCTACTGGGGAAAAGCAGGTGCCTATACAAAGATATATGGAGCTCCTGATGGAAAAGCTGCCTGATGGAGGTGACACAGTATAAAAGACCAACAGGCTGGCCCAGGTGAGAAGGCGCAGCCTCTGCAGGGGGATGGGACCCAGGCTTTTATATCAGTTTCCACTTCCTACTGTGAATACAGACAAGGCCTCCTCTAGGGGGACCGGGGTAGAGTCTAATGAAACAGAGACATCTCTGTTATCTCTGCCATCTTGAGTGCACTTTGGGATCAAATGTGATGGCAATCAAGGGGCCCAAAAACTGGAGAAATTCTTCCCAGTCCTCATTCCCAGATGCTGTAGGGCAATGACAGAGACCCCTGATAAAGTGATCCAAGAACAAAGCTCATTTTTGGCTGGAGTTTCATAAATGTGGACATCTTATCAAGAAAGAACCCAAAGGAGTATTTCTAGAAGTTTTTGGATAGGTGGAAGTAAAAGGCAAGTGTACCGGGTGTAAAAAGTTTTAAAATCCATGCATACGTTTTCCATAGTATGCATTTCCACGAACTTTTTGAAGACCGCTTATGTTCATGGATTTCAAAATGTTTTAGACCAAAACAAACTTATCTTGTAATTCTATTTTCCATGAACTTTCTGACGTCCCCTCATAAATATCAGCAGTCAGTATGGTTCACAGGTTGCTCTAGAAGCACACGCTCATGGCCTGGGGAGGCCACCAGTAAGTATGACCTCTGCAAGGGTGGGAGCGCAGCGTGGGGAGTGGCGCAAGGCCCTCTCCTGCCAGGCAGCTGGGCCTCGATGTGTAGACTCACTCTGGCCAGCCCTCGAAGGTGGAGACAGTGAAGAGGGCCATCATGGCTGCCAGGACGTTGTCAAAGTCAAACTTGCTGTTCTCCCAGCTGCGCGGCTGGATGATGGGATGGTCAACCTCTCCATCTTTGTAGGTGATGTAGTTACCCCTGAGAGAGGAGGAGAAAGAGTCACTTCTGGGGCCTCTCATCTCCCTTTGCAGCTAACCCACCAATGACTCCTGGCTTGCTGGATGGGATGGGACAGGATGGGCTTCAACCTCACACTTCCAGCCACTGGAGAGAACTTCAGTGGGCAGAACCTTCCAGAATAGTTAGCACATACTGCACATGGGCAGAAGTCCTGCTGCTGCTCTGTATGAGGGAGAAAGACCGTCCCTCTTCCCAGGCCAAGTCCCTGGCTCCCCAGAGCTCACCAGCGTGGTGCTGTTGGCCCTGTAGGCTGTACTCACTTGCATTCAGCCTCAGTCTGTTTGGAACTGTCTGAACAGGTGTACAGCTTCCCCTGGAAGTCAGAAGAAGAACAAAGTGACTAGAGATGGTAATTAATCAATGAAGCAATCACAAAAATGATCAGTGGCCATCACTCAGCCCAGCGCTGAGCTTGGGATTGCAGAATTAAAAAGCACAAGAAGAGCAGAACCCAGATGTGGAAAACATGACTTACATAAGCAAGCAGACAGAGTAGAGACGCGCAGTGCTACCAGTACCACTGGGACTCCGCAAAGGGGAGTCCAACCCCTGAGAGCCGACCTTCAGAAAGGTCTTGTGAGGAAGGAGGGAGTGGAGTTGGGCTTGGAGGCATGAATTAGGTGGGAGGGAATCCATGGAGGGCCAGGGAGGGCAGGTCGAGATGCGTTAGGTGAGAGAATGGCAGGACTGAATGGCTGAAGGCAGAAGTGAGCAGAAGCCAAGGAAGACCCCGGGGAGGGCTCAGCCAGGGAGCTATCTGGAGAGACACAGGGCTCCGAAAGCTACAAGGGAAGGTGAATGTGCCACTGTAGAGAGGAAGTGTTGGCTGCAGGTGTTAAGCAAGTGGTTGGCACGTGGTTCTAGAACAGGAAAGTCCTCGCCTTCTTGCTAGAAGGAAGGGCAGGGATGTGAGGGCAGGAAAGCTGGGAGGGTGACGGGCCTTCGGCCTGGCAGGGCAGTGCCTCCTTCTGGCTTTCTCCTCCTCCTCTCCTTTGGGAGGCTCGAGGCGGGCTGTGGCTGGACACTGCATTCACTCCAAATACGACTTGGGCCACGTCCACTTTCTGTTGTGTCTCCCGGGTCCCTTTCCTGGGAATACTGATGGAAAGGGCAGGCAGCAGAGCCAAGACTTTACCTTGAAGAGCTGGACTCCGATGCAGGCGAACATGAACTGCAGCAGCGTGGTGACAATCACGATGTTCCCAATGGTCCGGATGGCCACGAACACACACTGAACCACGTGCTGTGGTGGGAACAGGGGGCCAGGGCAAGGGGGTGTGGTTTCAGAAGACACCTGCAGCCTGAGCTTCCTTCAGCTGTGCCATGGGCCTCTCTGGGGAGGTAGTACAAGCAGCCCCTCTGCCTCAAGGTGGAGAAGTCAGTTCAATGAGGCAAAGCAACCCTCCTACAGTAGTGAGTGAGCAATGGAACCCGGTGGAACAAAGTCCCCTGTGAGATTCCAGGTGACTACAGGGACAGAAGCTCTACTACTAACTTGATGGTGGTAGGAATATAAGGGGACTCCTCATTGAGGGGACACTAGGTTTGTGTGGAGGTCTCCCCTTTGCAGCTTCACTTAGGAACTCAGGTTTGGAGTGGCTGAGTTCATTTGCTCATCACGGGACCAGGCCTTGAACCGGGACTAAGTCCAGTCCCCCACCCAGCAGACACCTGGCCTGCCCATTATCTCCTCCATCGGGCTCAGCTTCCACCGAGGCCTGCCCACCTCACCTTTAGCCCCTTGGCCCTGTTGATGGCCCGCAGTGGCCTGAGCACTCGCAGCACTCGCAAGATCTTCACGACATTGATCGCGCTGGACCTGGGAGAGAGAAACATGGTAGCGTGCTAAGCTCCTCTTGTTTCTGGGGGAGCAGGAAACAACGTGTGGAGGAGGTATGCTGACAGGCCGATCCCAGGCACACCTGTGTCTCGGGACTTTCCCATCATGGGCCAATTCTTGACTTTCTACTCCGGCCACAGAATGGGACAGTCGCCCTCAGAACCCTGAGCTTGCCTGTGACAGGGCCATTCCTGCTGGTGAGTAAGCCACCTGGGAAGCTGTTCACCGTGCATCACCAGCAACACGGTGCGCTCCCTGTTGGAAGGGGGCATCCCTGTGTCAAAGAAAGAGGACTTAGAGCAAGGCAAACCTTAGCTCACACCCAGCACTGCTGAGTCACCGAGGACACACTGCCTAACCCTCCCAAACCTCGGTTCCCTCATCTGTACAATGGAGCAGTAATCAACCCTTAAGGTTGTTGCAAGAATTTCATGGGAATTTTATGTGAATCATTTGCAGTGGGCTTGGCACTTTTGAAGGCACTTCGAAAAGTTTTTTTTTTGGTACAAAAATATTTTGAAATTCATGTATAGTTCTTTTTGTAAAAAGACATATTTATTTATTTGAAGGGCACAGTTACAGAAAGAGAGAGAGAGAGGTATCTTCCATCCACTGGCTCACTCCCTAAATGGCTGCAATGGCCAGGGCTGCGCCAGGCCCAAACCAGGAGCCTGAAGCTTCCAGGTCTCCCACATGGATGGCAGGGCCTAAGCACTTGGGCCACCTTCTGCTGCTTTCCCAGGTGCATTAGCAGGGAACTAGATCAGAAGTGAAAGCCAGGGCCGGCGCCGCAGCTCACTAGGCTAATCCTCCGCCTTGCAGCGCCGGCACACCAGGTTCTAGTCCCGGTCGGGGTGCCGGATTCTGTCCCGGTTGCCCCTCTTCCAGGCCAGCTCTCTACTGTGGCCAGGGAGTGCAGTGGAGGATGGCCCAAGTGCTTGGGCCCTGCACCCCATGGGAGACCAGGATAAGTACCTGGCTCCTGCCATCGGATCAGCGCAGTGCGCTGGCTGCAGTGCGCCGGCCACGGCGGCCATTGGAGGGTGAACCAACGGCAAAGGAAGACCTTTCTCTCTGTCTCTCTCTCACTGTCCACTCTGCCTGTCGAAAAAGAATAAAAAAAAAAGAAGTGAAAGCCATAACAAGAACCGGTACCCATATGGGATGCTGGGGTTGTAGGCAGAGGTTTAACCAGCTACGTCACAATTCCGGCCCCCCCATAGTTTTTTTTTTTTTTTTCTTTTTTTTATAATGCACATTTTCATTTATTTTTTGAAAGACTCCTTGTAAGCATGGATTTAAAAAATTCAGAAAATAAACTTATCTTTGAATTCCATTTTCCATGAGCCATTTGAGGTGCCCTTTTCTTTCCTTTTATTTTTTTTAAAGATTTTTTTTATTTATTTGAGAGGCAGAGAGAGAGAGAGAACTCTTCTATCCACTGGTTCACTCCCCAAATGACTGCAACAGCCAGAGCTGGGTTGATCGAAAGCCAGGAGCCAGGAGCTTCTTCCAGGTCTCCCATGGAGGCTCAGTGGCCCAAGGACTTGAGCCATCTTCCACTGCTTTCCCAGGTCATAGCAGAGAGCTGGATCAGAAGTGGAGCAGCCGGGACTGGAACCAGCACCCGTATGGGATGCAGGTGCAGCAAGTGGTGGCTTTACCCGATAAGCCACAGTGCTGAGCTGCCCTTTTCTTAAGAACTGAACAGACAGCGGCTTTTATTTCTGTGCCTGTTGAGACCTGGTGCTGTGTGGCAAGGGTGGCCCCTCTGGCCTCGTGGCTGGAGTGGCAGGTGTGGGGAGGCTGTTTTCCAGTGTTCCTCTCCAACACATGTCCCTGGGGGGGTGCCCGTCACACTTCCATGTGACACACTGCTTTACAGCACTTTGGGGACTCAATGGTCTCCACACAGTAGGTCCCAAGCAGTGGGGAGGCCAAGGCCAAGACAGGGATTCTGGGAGCCGCAGGCTCCTGTTCTTCAGGAGAGGCAAGACCCCCAGGCTCCCTGGCAATGTGTCTGGATGGTTTCCAGAGTGCCAGGTCCTACCCGGGGGGGGGGGGGGGGGTGGGGGGGGGAGCTTATTAACCACAGTAGCTCTGGGAGGCACTGGGAGGCGCTCAGTTTGCAATGAATCACATGGAAGGGACTTCAAGCCAAGTGTGGAAAACAGGTGAAAGAGGAGGAGCCTTGGTTCAAGGTATCTACCCCTGAAGTTTCTAGGCAGAAGATTTAGGACAAGGTAACTGATGATCACAGAAAAGGGTCTCACCTTCCACGGCCCCAGCCTCCACCCTATCTCCACCGGCCATGCAAACATCTTGGGGAGGAAGACCCAAGCCTTGCAGAACTTAAGCCTTTCTCTGCCTTTGGTATGACCTTGAGTAAATCTCGTAAGGTCCTGAACTTCATTTTTCTCATCTACAAAACAATGATAACATTACCTGCCCTGCCTACCTCACAGGATTCTTGCTTTGTTTTTTTCCCCTTCTAAGAACATGCATGTGTAAGTGCAGGATTAACACAATCAGCTCTTAGAAACAGGCAGAAATTAGTAGTGAGATAGGAGAAAGGTTTGCAACCTCGGCTGTGCAGGGGAATCACCTGGAAAGCTTATAAAACCCCTTCCAGCCCAGACTGTACCCCAGTGCAATTAAATAAAAGACTGGCCCTGGAATCTGGGCAGATATTTGTTTTGTAAAGCTAGCCAAGTGACACTACTGGGCAGCCAAGACGAGAATCAGCAGTTTCTCTCTGTCTGTCTGTCTGTCTCTCTCTCTCTATCTCACTCACACCATCTCCCCTGTCCCCCACAGGTACTTTGGAGAACAAGGTGAAAGAGAGAGGGGGTGAGCCAGAGGGTCAGGGAAGGCCAAGGCAATGGCAGGCCCTTGGCAGCTAAAGGGAAGCCTAGGGATTGGGCACACGGCTGAGAAGGCAAGAAGAGAATGAAGACCACAGTTTCTTTGTAACTGGGCCCAGCCCTGGCAAAATCCAGATATTTCAACCTATTCTGCTGCATCAACACACCCCCAAATGCCATACCATTGAGGACATGGGGACAAGAAATCAAAGCCACCATGTTGTAGCGCTTCAAAGGCCCTGCCCCGGTGACATCACAGTCATCCTGTACTGCCCTGCAGGAAGGTCCTTGGAGTTGGGCTATCCTCTTTGACAGCCCCTCCTAGCCGCACGCCCCCGTCTTGGGCTGAGCGAGCCCTACTCACTGGATGCCGAAGGAGATGAGGGACACGCTGACCACCAGCAGGTCCAGGATGTTGAAGTAGTTCCTGCAGAAAGAGCCCTTGTGCAGGAAGGCCCCATACGCAGTCATCTGCAGGGGGACAGGAAAACACCAGTGAGGGTGACTTGGCCCATGCTCCAGAGACCCCCCACCCTACCTTCCTCCCACAGCAGCCTCCAGGAGGGACCCAGGCACTGCCTCTGGGGACTAGGAAGGACTAAAGAAGGAGACACGATGCCAAGACAGGGGCTCTGCACCATCACACAGTCAGCAAGGAATAGCCCCAGCCCCAGAGGTAAAGGTGGCCTCTGCACCCAGCACACCATGCTGGGTTCTTCAGTCCTGGAGTCAAAGCCCTCTCAAACGGCCCCCACCAGCCTCTCTAGTTCTCTGCTGCTTTCTCCGTCACAAGTCCACGGCTCCAACCCTCAGTAGTCCCTTGCTGATGCTCCCCAGGCTGGTGTCCCTTGTATGCACATGTCTCACCCTCCTTTCCAAATGCTGTTGTCCTCAGGGCCAGCTGAGAATACTGAGGTGGGGGAGTCAGGAGGCTGAGCAACTGCTCTGATTTGCCCAGGACTTAACTGGCTCTATCAGTGACAGCCCTGTGTCCCAAGAAACCCCCAGTCTTTGGGAATCTGAGACCACTGGGCACTCTAGTGCCCAGTGAGAAGCTGGACCAACGACTCCGGTTATTAGCACCCTCCACCTCCTGGCCTCCAGCAAGTGGTGCTGGTGAGCTCTGCCAAACAGTCTAGACTTCTAGGTTGCCTGTTTTCTAGAGGCAGAAGCAGTGTGTTCAGGGGGTGATGTGGTTCGGTTTTGGTTCAGAGCACGACCACTGGCTTTGAACCCCACCCTGTGTGTTTTATTGGGCAGTAAGAGACTTCAGTGTGCCCGACAATATCTACCCGAAAGGGTTGCAAGCATCATCTTCTGGGTCATTGCATGCAACACACGTGGGGTTCTGCCCTGCAGGCAATTCTCCCCCCTGCAGCTGCGGTTTGAATTCTGGATTCTTCCCGAATGAGGCAAGTTGAGCTCCCTTTATTGCCTTGTTTCTGTGAGGCTCATGCAGGAAACAACGTGGAACCCCTCTAAAAACTCTGAAAAGGAGGCCACATAGGTGACGATGAGCATCCGAGGACTAGACCACGGCTGCCTCCTGCAGAGCTGCCTTCCCCCTTGGCTGCCTGGAATTGCAGGCAGGGGGCGTCCAGGAGAAGGGCTGTCAAAGGCCACAGGGAGGACGTGTCAGCCAGAGGGGAAAATCTGAAGCTGAGGACGGGTGGGAAGCTGAGAGCCGCTCCCGGTCACCTGGGGTGCAGCTTATCTCTCTGGAATCAGAGCATGCCCGTGCAGGGTGCCTGCAGAGCAATTCTAAAGCAAACACGGAGGGGAGAGGGACAGAAATAGTCCTCGCAACCTAATTCTTTCCACTTATCTTTTACAGCAGGGGTCACAGGGGACTTGGGCACCTGTGTTCTGCAACAATGTTTAGAAGTAGGTGTATTACATAAAAAAAGGGCTCGCGTCGCGTGGCACGACTCAGTGGGCTGGGACCCCAGAGACGGCATGCAGGAGGCTCCTGTGAAGACCTGCCCCTGAGCTTGCACAAGGCTGAGTGCTTTCCCTAGCACCTCGTTTCCATCTTACAGGAGGTGTGGCTCTAAGCTCTCCTGACTCTTAGCCTGGACCCTCCGAGCAACTGCTGGGGTCCAACAGAGCCCTGTGCATTCAGCAAACAGTGTTCAGCATGGAGGTGGACACATGGGGCTCACGGGGCCAACTGCTGTCCTTCGGCTTGGGCCTCTGTTGGGTAAAGGGACCCTTGAATGAGACAGCAGTTCAGGAAGCACATGGACGTGTATGGGGGCAGGGTGGAATACACACCCAGGAAGAGTGGCCATGGGAGAAAGAACAAGTGGATGCTGGGAAAACAGAATTTATTGAAAATCATCAGTGGCATGCAGGACAAAGAAGCCACGTTAGGGGCCCGCGCAGAGCCTCCTTCCTTGCCTTTTTTCTGACCGCCACCCACCTATTCCTGGTTTCTGAAAGGTTAAGTCGTTACCCAGGGAAGGTCCATTACTGGGGTGTTTCCAGTTGGGAGAGGGAAAGGGAATGGGACACAGGCTTATGATGTCTTCGAGTGGGAAGGGCAGGGAGCCACAGGGCCCTGTCCTGCCGGGGGCTAGTGCCTCCTCTAAGGGCAGCTCTTCTGGTATTAGAGGCGTCTTGTCTTTTGCATTGCATTTCTATGCATTCGTCTCTTTCTGCCTTCCCCCTTCTCTACTTGACAGTCCTCGCAACACGCAGGCCAATGATGCGATCTTACAAGCCTCCGAGTGTCAAGGCCAAGCGTTCCCAGGTGGACAGCAATTGCCGTCCATGCTGCGGCACGAGGCTGGGCCTCCAGACCAGGCAGAGGGCACAGGAGGAAGGAGGTGCAGGAAGAGGCCTGGGGACCGGGTTTGTGCTCAGAAGCACGCTGAGCAAGAAAGAGACCAGAAGAGCGAGGGGGAGAAGGGGAGGGAAGGCTTTGCCATGGTGTCATGACAATGCCCACAGAGAGACTCTCACTTCCACTTGCAGGGCGGTCTTGCAGGAGAAAGACCCTCTGAAGCCCACAAGAGCACTGAGAAGTGGGCCTAGGCTTTGCTTGTCTGGGAAAGAACTTGGCCTCTCTGAGTCTGAAGCCCAGGAAGAAAAGCAGCACAGCCTAGACAAGGGGTTCCCATCGCTGCACCTCAGCACAGGCAGGAAAGCAGCTCAGGCCCCCTCCCCCACCTCCGGGAACCGGGGCCCGGTCAGATCTACTCTGCCTGAGCTGGAAAGAAAATTCCATGCCGTGCTCCTGGTTTGCTGCAACCAGGGACAGAAGCCGGGTGGAAGCCCCATGAACACCGCCCACTCAGTCTGCACCTGCCCCTGACAGAAGTCACTTCCATGAAGGGGCTGGGCAGGGCTTGGGAGCTTCCCCAGGAGAGAAAGTGGTCCCAGGCGGGTGTGGACATCGGCTCACACCTGCCACCGGGATGGGGAGTCTGTGCTCTGTGGGCTGGGCGGTCCCAGGCAAGCCTCCTTTAGTTGAGTCAGACCCTTGCTCTGGGAGAGGCACACGTGACCCAAGGGCTCACACTCACAACCTGAATCTCAGATGAACGGGCTTGGCCATGCGTTGCTTTAGAGGCTCAGAAGTGTGCTAGGAAAACCCAGAAATAATCCTCCATCCAGGGCTGCTCGGACGGGGCTCTGCCCGCTTTCAGGATACCTCCGGGGTAGCGGCTCCACAGGCAGGGGTGAGCTGGGTCAGCCGCCGGCAGGGCAGGGACCTGGCTGCCCAAGATCCTATGGGCACCTGGTTCTCATCTCGCTTAGTTCCCAATACGTTTTTCCCTCGGTTGTGCTTAGGCAAAGGCCATTGTAACCAGGACTCTCAGCAGGTGCCTGAGGAGTCAGGAGCAGTCTGTTGTCACCTGCTGACAGCCCTCAGTGGGGATTCTGGCTCCAAATCTTGCCCAATCCTAGCTTAGCTCTGAGGTCTGCCCCATGCCCTGAGGAAGGTATGGATGGCCATCCAAAGTGAGCAGTAAAGTGAGTTCTTGGTGGCCCAGAGCGGTCCACTTTCTGAGGTTGTGTGGCATTCTTGGGGAGAGGAGGCCAGGAGGCTTCTGAGCAGGGCTCTGTCATCAGGAGCCAGCGACGGCGTGTGCTCCTGTGTGTAGGGGCGCGGCTGAGGGCCGCAGGGCCAACCAGTGACGTGGCAGCTTCAAGGGCAACATTGGCAGCTGCTTGCCTCTTCCAGACAAGAGCTGCTTAAGGGCAGCCAGAAAGGAGGGGCTCAGGGACACACGTGTCCGGCTTGCGAGCCTGGGCCCAGAGCACAACCCAAAGCGAGGGACAATAACTTTTGCAATTGCAGGCTTGAGAGAGAACAAAGAGAGTGAGAGAGACAGAAGAGAGAAAGGAGACAGCCATACAGGTACACAAAGAGAGAGGCGGACAGCATGTGTCGCTCAGGTTGCTTTACCTTAAGGATAATTTCTAATGTAAAGATACTAGTGAAGACATAGTCTGCATTGCCTAGGATCTGAAAAATAAGCATAATCGGATTAGTGGCTCTGAGAGTGAACCCAACACCAGCAGGAGCGTGTGTGTTAGCCAGACAGACAGCAGCAGAAAGGCCAGGAAGAGAGGGGGAGGGGGGATGGAGCTTTACCTTGAGAGCAATTTCAATGGTGAAAATGGTAGTAAAAACAATGTCAAAATAAAACAGAATCTGCAAAACAAAAAGAAACAAGATGGGGCAGGGGTGGGTAAAAGCAGAATGGGAGGGGAGGTCAGTGGGTGTTCACCAGCAAAGGAACCCCGCTTCCAAACAAGGCGCCCTTCCTGTGCACGGGGTCCCAGGCAGCTCAGGGGTGCTGTGTCGAGCCCCAGATATGTGAGTTTCCAGTGCAGTCCTCAGCTGGTAATGGGTCTGAGCGCATCTGGCTGGATGCATTTTTATTAATGCAATTAACCAAGAAACTCAAATCAGAACACTGGGACACATCAAGAGGGCAGGGGGTGGACTTGTTTTTGTTTCTGTTTTGCAGGGAGCTTCCAAATGCTCGGCCCCTAAGCTGGTGAGACTGAGCCAGCCGGTGTCCTGTGTTGGTTGCAATCTGTGCCACCACGTCCTCTGGGGAAGGAGCACCCTCCAGGTGAAGCACATCCGGGCTGAGGATGGTCCATGCTTTATTATATCTCAGGTCAGAGCAAGGACCAACACCTCTAACCTTGGGCAGAGAGCCTTGGCCCCAGCCAGCTTCAGGGCTGCTGAGTGGGTCGGCATGGGGATGGCTCTAGATCAGCGGGCCACTCTCTTCTAGCCCACCAGGCTGGGATCAATCAGATGAAGCCCTGAGGCTCTGACTCCAGCCTTTACCATTGCCCACTGGTGCCCTGGGTGGGCCTCCAGATACAGTTCTGCTCTACAGAAGACCACCAGGCTCTCCTTCCTCTTGGCTGGGCCTTGCCACCAGCACCTGTTTGCCAATGGCCCCTTCTGGTCAGAACATTCCAGGCAGAATAGGGCAGGCAGCCAGGGGCCGCACTGTGCCAAGTTTATAGGGAACAAGAGCTTCCTGGGGAACATCCACAGAGCAATGGCCGCCCTGAACTTTGTCACTTCCCAAACCAGCTCATGCCCACGATTGCACTTGCTGGTGGCCCCAGGGTGGGTTTCCAGCAAAGCTCTAATCCCTTAGAGAGATGTTTATGGGATTTGGACCTTGACTCCCGACAGGACAATGACGCCGGCAACAAGCAGCACTGGGTGTGGTGACACTCCGAGAAGGAAGGGGCGCAGAGGACAAAAGGGGGGTGCGTACGTGATTCCTGAAGGAGGTGTGCTGCACAGGGTCCTCGGCAGCCAGGGAAATGCTGCTGAGCAGAATGAAGAAGAGGATCAGGTTGGTGAAGATCGTGTCGTTGACGATACGGTGACACTGGAGGCGGAACCTGCCCAGGGAGGAGAGGAGGAGAGGGCTGTCAGAAGAGACAGGGGAAGCAGCTCCTGGGGTCTCAGGGGCACCGCCCCTTCGGTCTTTGTCTCGGTTTGCAAAACGTGCTTGTGGTTTGGGGGTAGCCCCCCAGCTAAAATCTCACCACCGCTGGTAATGAGAACCCAGCCCCATCCCCGTGATGCGCATCACCATGGTACCGGGGTGGTTCGTGGGCCCTTTCACGGCGGCAAGCTACCATTGACCTTTCAGAGGGTTCTGAGACTCCTGGGAATCCGACTTTTCACATGCTGCTCTGACATTATCAACTGACTTTTGTTTGGAGTTTTCTTTTTCCTATCATCGAAGAAACATCCGTTTAGGAGATCTACTTGTTCTTTTCTGTGCATAGGAAACAACAGCACTAACTGGAGATGCATAAGCCGAGAGCCAGAGAAGTCCACTTTCTGGCTAGATGGGTTGCCCCTAGGTTACAGCTTTCAAGTTCACGCCTTCAGTTCAAGGTCACACCTTAGCACAGGTGCCAAGAACTACCAGTCTGGGCTTCTGCATGCTCATCGATAGCACCAACAGTGCTTGGTACTTGCATGCCATGGGTGGCTTGGGTACGTCCTACCCCTGATGACAGTGCAGGATGGGAGGTAGGCAGGTTATTCTCATTGTCACAGAGAAAGACACTGACATGTGGGAGGCAGGGGCTGCCCAGAGAGATAGCCTGCAGTGTGGAGCACTCAGGGCTTGAGCCCAGGCCTTCAGACTTGTGCTCCTGGCATTACAGTTGCCTAAACGGTCTGAGAAGCTGCAGAGCCTGGAAAGGACAAAACCTTGGAGGCACTTCTGGCTTTGTGAGAGTGAGGAGACAGCTGCAGGGATCTTCTCTTTCAAACCAACCTATCTACCTATCTATCTACCTACCTACCTACTTACCTATCTACCTATCTACCTACCTACCTATCTACCTACCTACCTACCTACCTACATATCTACCTACCTACCTACCTACCTACATATCTACCTACCTACCTACCTACCTACATATCTACCTACCTACCTACCTACCTACATATCTACCTACCTACCTACCTACCTACCTACATATCTACCTACCTACCTACCTATCTACCTACCTATCAACCTACCTACCTACCTACCTACATATCTACCTACCTACCTACCTATCTACCTACCTATCAACCTACCTACCCCCCTACCTACATATCTACCTACCTACCTACCTACCCACTCACCCATTCACTCACTGAGCTAAGGTCTGAGTTTGGGCAGCTGGGAAGAACAGGGCTGCCTGAGGATAGATGCTAACAACAGCAGTGCAGTCGAGAAAGTAAGCAGGTCTGGGAAGCCTGGGACTTGGGTTGAGCCAGCTTCCCCAACGGGCATGGAGAAGAAAGATTCCCCAGTCCCGATTTCAGTCCTCAGGACTGAAGTCACTGAGGTCACAACCAAAGATCACCACACACAGAACAGGCTAAGCCACTAAGATAGGAAACCAGAAGAAACGACTGGCTGGCACTGCGGCACAGTGGCTCAAGCCACCACCTGTGATGCCAGCTTCTCATATGAGCGCAGATTTGAGTATCAGTTGCTCCACTTCCAATCCAGCTCCCTGCCAATGTGCCTGGGAAAGCAGCCAAGGATGGCCCAAGTGGTTGGGCCTTTGTCTCCCTTGTAGGAGGCCAGAAGGAGTTCCTAGGTCCTGGCGTTGGCCTGGCCCAGTGCTGTCATGACCATCAGGGGAGTGGACCAGTGAATGGAAGATTCTCTCTCTCATTCGCTCTCCCTCTTTCTCCTTCTCTTTCTGTAACTCTGCCTCTCAAATAAATAAAATAAATCTTTTTTTTTTAAGGAAACAAGTAAGTGATTAAGATTCTCCTCCCTGACACTACAACTATTGGATACTATGGATATTTGAAATTTTTAATGACATAAAGGACTTACATGAAAAAAATACAATGGATTGTCAATAGAAAAAAAAACTGATTTAAACAGTAGTACAGATAAAGTTAAAAAAATTAAGAACTTGGATGGCGTATCTGAGGAAATCACCCAGAATAATAAAACAGAGATACAGAAGTAAATATACATTAAGAGATAGGGAGGACAAGGTCTAACACTGGACCAACAGCTGGACAGACTAGAGAATTCAGGAGAGGCAGTATTTAAAGATCAGGGCTGAAAATTTTCTAGAACTTAAGAGAAATATAAATACATGGACCTAGGAGCTATAACATATGCTAAGCCAGATAAGTAGAAAGAAACCCATGCCAGGAGACATAGTAGTAAATCTGCAGCAGATCAAGGCCAACAATAGAGCAAAGGCAGCTACAAATGAAGACAGGTTACTTACGGAGGGGTGACTGTTGTAATTACAGCGAACTTACAGTGAAATAACACCTGTAATGTGCTGAGGGACAAACCTATCAATCTAAAATTCTATACACAACAGAGAGAGCAATTATAAAGAGAGGCCAAGTAGATTTTCCATAAAGGAATTAATGGAATTTCCAAAGAATGTACTTTAGGAAGAAAGAAAATGCTTACAGAAGGATGGGCTGGGATGTATCCTCTCTGCCCCCCCCCCCCCAAAAATGGTAGGGGACTACTGTTGTGGTGAACTGCAATACTTGCATCCTATATGAGTGGTGGTTTGAATTCTGGATATCCATTTCTAAACCATTTCCCAGCTAATGCACCTGGGAGAGCAGTGGAAGAAGGCCTAAGTTTTTAGGGTCCTGCCACTCATGCGGGAGACCTGGATGGAGTTTCAGGTTCTTGGCTTTAGCCTGGCCCAGTCTGGGCCATTGTGACCATTTGGAGAGTGAGCCAGTGAATGGAAGATTTTTTTCTCTTTTTCTTTCTCTCTCTCTCTCTCTCTCTCTCTCTCTCTCTCTCTTTCTCTCTCCCTGTGTTGTGTGTGTGTGCACCACTCTGTCTTTCAAATAAATGAATAAGTCTTTATTTTTTTAAATGGTAAACAAATAAAAAGGTAAGTTACATGTAAATCCAAACACACACTGTCTGAATAATAATAATAATAATAATAATAATAATAATGTGACATCTATCTTGGGTGAAAAATAAAGGCTGGGACTAAGATGCTAATCAACAGTAACAGAAGTCAGGAGAAAAGTGAGTTAAAACAGCCTGACGTCCTTCTCTTACACAGCAGGAGGTTTAAGGTGCTGTCTAACTTTATGGATGCTAATTATCCTAATATGATCATTAAAAATGTATGCATGTATCAAAATATTACACTGTACCCCAGAAATATGTACAATTATTGTTGGTCAATAAATAAAAAAAGACTGGTAAACTAAGAAGGATAATCAGCAAAGAAAAGAAGCTGAGTTTACGCATTTCTAACAGTGGAGAGGAGAATGAACACAGATTGTCTGATTCAGAATTCAGGGCTGTTTTCCCTGAACCAACGTCTGTTTACTCCAGGAGTGGGGAGCTGGGAGGAGCCCACGTTCCACCTAGAGATTCAGGGGAGACACAGGCATCTGCTTGGCTTGTACCACGAACAGAGCAGAGTCCCGCCTTCCCTCGCCATCCTCGCGTACCTGTTGTTGGGGCTGAAGATGAAAAACGCACTGGCTTCTGGCATAGGCACGGCCTTCTCCTTAAGGTGCAGCTCGGAGAGTGGCCGAGGGCGGGGGCCGACAGGCATCTCAGGCTCCTCCTCATCCTCTTCTCCTGCAGGAAAAGCAGCAGCTCTTGAAGTGACTCCGCCGCGCCACTTATTTTTATCCCTGTGCCATCTACTTCCAGAGGCAGGATGAAGACATCGTTTGTATCCCTGAAAATGTAGAGGTCCAGCCAAGACAGACACCCTGCTGTCTGTTGCGTGGGTATTGCTGGAGCTCATCTCTGCTAGAGAGAAGCTTTCCTGGCAGTACACAGTAAAATGGATATAAGTAGGATGCCCAACTCGCCATGGTTCAGCCAGGACTATCCAGCTTCCATACTGAAATCCCACATCACAAAGAACCCCTCAGACCCAGGAAACTGGGCTGGTCAGACATCCTGGCTAGAAGACCCAAGAGAGGGTGACCAGGGAAGACCAGGATATTGTCAGGTGTTATTCCTCCAACCTGGCTCCAAGTGGAAAGATCAGAAACAAACAAAAACAAACAAACTCACTTATGCAGGGATAACAGGACATAAACCCTGCCCTCAACAGGCCCTCTGTTCAAAAGTTTACGCACTGTCACCAGTTAAAAAGCTCCTTTGTCCTCCAAATCAGTGAGCGCATTTCATTTGGGCCACTGACTCCTTCCCTTGCAAGCATATTGCCCAGGGGAGGATGCACCAGCCAGCCCACTGGTCGAACATCAGCAGAGATGTCTGCGAGTGGGTCAGTGACGGCATGGGACTTAAGAGCAGTAGTTCTCCAGCCAGAAACCTGGATCCTAATCGTGGCTCTTTCCTTTCTGGCTATGGGCATTTTATTGAGTCTCTCCATGCCTCAGTTTATCCATCAAGGAAGGAATCGTAATAGCAGCACAAGCTTCCTTTAGAACCGAGCCTGACACAGAACAGCTGCTATGTAAGTGATAGCTGCTTGTATAACTATCTGTACCCAGCGAGAGACTCAGCCTATAAATCAGCACTTGGCATTTTTCTCAGCCTGATCCTTACCTGTGAGTATTCCCTAACAGTCTCCTCACAGCCAACTACTCCCTAAATGCTCGCTGCAGTGGGTTGAATAGTGTCCCCTCAAAATGCATGTCCACCCAGGACCTCTGAACATGACATCCGTGGGGCACAGAGTCCTTGTAGATGCAATTAGCTATGCTGGTGTCATGCTGGGCCCTAAGACTGTTGATGGTTGTCCTCATAAGGAGAGACATGAAGATAACGGCTCATGCAGGGAAGGGGGGGCCCTGTGGAGACAGAGGCAGAGACTGGAGGGATGCACCCACAAGCCGAGCACTGCCAGCCAGCACAGAAGGCAGCACGAGGCAAATATAGATTCTTCTCTAGAGCCTCGCGGGAGCGCTGTTCCGACACCCTGATTTTGAAATTCCAGGCTTCAGAGCAGTGAGAGAATAAATTTTTTGTTCTAAGTTGTCCAATGGGTGGTAAAGTAAGAACTTTAATTTGGGGTGTGGGATAGGGGCAGAGAGAGAGAGGGAGAGAGGGAGGAGAGAGAGAGAGAGAGAGAATGCTTCCATCAACTGATTCACCCCTCAAATGCCTGCAACAGCCAGGACTGGCTGAGTAAGAAATGAGGAGGCTTTGAAACTCAAGCCAGGTCTCCCACGTGGGTGGCAGGAACCCAAAGACTCGAGATATCACCACTAACTGTCAGGGTCTCCACTGGCAGGAAGCTGGCTGGAGTCAGGAGAAAAGCCAGGAATCAAATCAAAGCAATCTGACATAGGAGGTGGGGGTCCGGGCTAATGTGTTACCTGCGAGGCTGAATGCCCAGTGAGTGCTAACGGGTTCTGGCAGCCCCAGGGAACAAGCGCAGTCACTATGGGCTCTCATCTTCCTACCTGCTCTCTCCCGGACTGAACTTCTCTCCACCTTTGTCTGCAGCAGAGCTTACAAGAACCCCTTCTCCAGAGAGCATCCCTTACCCAGCTCTCCTGAGCACCTGTGCTCCAGAGAGTGACCTTCCTGTGAACCCCAGCAACACTCTGCACCCCCACACTCACTGGGCAATTAACACACAAAGCCTCAGACAGACACCTCATTTCCAGGGTACCTGACCCATCTACGTGCTGGAGACCTGGGAGTGAGAGGCCATGCCCGGCGCACAGGAACCATTATCTCTTGCTGATGATGGGGCCACCACACCCTTCATAAGGAGGGAGGCTTTGCCAAAGGAGAATCCAGTGGAGAGCAATCTGGCTGGAAGAAGGCAGTTTTGGGGAGCTCATCTGCAGAGCCAGCCACGCCTTTGTGTGCTCCCTCTTCTTCAGGTTAAAACAAAGCCAGGTGGTTGTTCTTTGTTAAGTGCAAAGCATTTAGGGCATCAAGGCTGTCTGGGAGGCCCAGGGGAATACAGGTGTGACTCAGACCCTCTCCCTTGGGCACTTGGAGCTGACCAGCAAGGCAACTGACACTCCCAGCAGAAGAGAGGTGCAAGCCGGAAGTCTGCATACAGGCCAAGAGTATCGATTTTTGACATCCCAACCTTGGTATGGAAGAGACAAGTCTACTTGATGCAGAATAAGTAAAACCAGAGTTGGCCTACCTCACAATATTTGTGAGTGAAATTTAATCGAGAAAAACTTTAAATTCCTGCCTAGGTGTTTGTATTTTTAGTTTTGCTCTAAATGATCCAAGAGTTTCTTATTTATGACAATTTAGTCACAGGTAATTTTATACTTATTTTAATTGCTCATGTTTCTAGAAAGCCATATTTCCTAGTGCTATGTTTCTCTGAGTTCTTAGCAAGGAAGCTTGTGTGCTGTTGCAGCTGCACTGGCCAACCGCACTACTGGGCAGTTCTGCAGAGGCAGGCAGTGGGTTACGCCATCAGATACATGTCAGTTGCAACTCAAGCCAAATGCTTAAGAGGAAACTCTTGGGGCCGGTGCTGTGGTGCACTGGGTTAACGCCCTGGCCTGAAGTACCGGCAACCCATATGAGCGCCGGTTCGAGACCTGGCTGCTCCACTTCCTGTCCAGCTCTCTGCTATGGCCTGGGAAAGCAGTAGAAGATGGCCCAAGTGCTTGGGCCCCTGCACCCACGTGGGAGACCTGGAAGAAGCTCCTGGCTCCTGGCTTCATATCGGCACAGCTCCAGCCGTTGCAGCCATCTGGGGAGTGAACCATCAGATGGAAGACCTCTCTCTCTGCCTCTGCCTCTCCTCTCTCTGTGTAACTCTGACTTTCAAATAAATAATAAATAAATTAATCTTTAAATATATATATGAGGAAACTCTTTCTGAAGGGCAAACTCAAACTTGTCAAGGGGCAGAAATGTGACAGCATGCCATGCCATTCCTAGTGTTTACTATGGGTAAGGAGGAAGGCGGACAGATCAGAAAAGGCCTGGTACAGCTCATTTTGGGGTTAGCAAGCAAACCACTAGACTTGTGCTCCCGAATGCCAGAGAAATCCCTTTGGGATTTTTTTTTTTTTTTTTTGGACAGGCAGAGTGGACAGTGAGAGAGAGAGGGAGAGAGAGAAAGGTCTTCCTTTACCGTTGGTTCACCCTCCAATGGCTGATCCGATGGCAGGAGCCAGGTACTTATCCTGGTCTCCCATGGGGTGCAGGGCCCAAGCACTTGGGCCATCCTCCACTGCACTCCCTGGCCACAGCAGAGAGCTGGCCTGGAAGAGGGACAACCGGGACAGAATCCGGCGCCCTGACCGGGACTAGAACCCGGTGTGCCGGCGCCGCAAGGCGGAGGATTAGCCTAGTGAGCCGTGGCGCCGGCCCCTTTGGGATTTTTTTCATTTCTGTTCTCCAGGATGGGGGGAAGGGAAGGTGTTGGAAAAAGTGATAAGGGGGAAGCTGCTGCTTTAGACAACAACAGGGCTAGAATCTGCGCAAGCAAAACCTCTGCCCAGCTCAACCTCCCAACTGTGGTCCTCGTCTTCGGTGAACTCGCCCCTCCCCTCTGGGTAGTCGTCTTCCCCTCTGTGACTTTGCTCATGGCCAACAAGAATAAAAGCATCAGTGGCAAACATCTCGTGACTGTTACAAAGCACTGACCCGCACAGACACAGCAGTGGCTCTGGTCCTTCAGGAACTTCGGGCATTTAACGAGGCACGGGGTTCACTGGCAGAGACAGGGTGACGTGTGGTGGGAAAGGGATAACACACTGACAGTGCAGTGGGAGGGCAGGGAGCGAAGCGGAGGAAGCAGCTTCTGCACAAGGTCTCTTCTCTTTAGTGGCTGGGAAAATCCCAGAGTCACCCTCATTCCACTTTCTCCAGCATCCAAGCCATTAACAAACCCAGTCGGCCCGACCTGCAAAGTGTGCCCCAAATCCAATCACTCCCTGAGCTGTCACCCAGCCGTGTTGCTGCCTCGCCTGGACCACTGCACACTCTCCTCCCTGCCTCCAGTGCTGCTGCTCACCATCAGCTGTCCTTGCTTCCATGAGACCTTGAAAGGGAAAGTCCTCCTCTGCCCGGCGACTTGGGCGGCTCTTGCTCAGGTCACCCCCTTACCCACTCTGCTCCTGCCTGACCTCCCAGTCTCACCATCTGGCGCTCTGCCTTTGTCCTTTCGCTGCCAGGGGCACTTTCCCTCTTTGGAGCACTCCACAACCACGGCTTCCACCTAAGGTTCCACACCTGCTGGTCCCCTACCTGGACAGCTCTTCCCTCTGATTTCCTGGAATCATTTGGGTTTCAGCCCAAAAGTCATGTCTGCAGAGAAGTCTTCCTCAATCACACAAAGCAGCCTGCCCCTCCCAGACACCCAAACACAGCCCTGGATTTTATCATCTTCACAACACCTGATGCTACCTCTTTGGCTGCTTTGCTTTCTTATCTCTTATCTCTCTCCCCACTGACCCATCTCTGTCTGGCCCACAGCTGTATCCCTGGGGCTTGGCACCCCACCTGGCCTGCAGTAGATGCTTTGTAAGCAGTTATTAAGTGAATGAACATTGCCAAGGTTTCTTCCACCTCTTCATGTCAATGACCACAGTTTGGTCCTGAAGCCGAGGGCAGGACAGCCTCAATTATCTATGGACCGGAGGTCTCAAAGGCACGGAGACATGTGGGATGAACAGAAGTGAAAGCAAGGTGTGCAGTAGGGTAGAGAAGGGATTCTGAAATAGCTTAAGAATCCTGAGGCATTAGCAGAGTGTGGGAATCGCTTTCTGTTCAAAAGCACAGGCATTCCAAGACTCCACGAAGCCTGCTGGGTCATCAGAGAGATGCTTCTGTGATGGCCACCATGGTGACAATACTGTCATCATCCATCTTTCTGTGTCCCTGACATTCTTCTCTTTGATTTCATTAAAGCCACAAAGAGGAGAAAAGCCAGGAGGATGTTTAGAATAATAGAATTTGAGATTATTGTCATAGATGCAAGATGTCGGTCTGCCCCACAGCCACGTGGGAGGGACAGGCTGAGGCCTGACTGCAGCAGGGTGGGGGCTGTGGGGAGACCTTCAGATCCAGATGTCCCCTCTGCTGTGTGCCAGGAAGCTGCGTGCTGGAGAGAGCGGGGCCAACCTGGGATTCATGTCACCACTGTCCATCTCCTTAAACTTCAAAAAGATGCTTGAGTTCAGACTCCTATAGGAAACCTCCACAAACCCTGCCTTAACAATCACTGACATTGTGCTGATCTTGTTTCATTTATCTTCTTCGCTTCCCCTATTTTGCTGTTGGAACATTCAAAAAGTAACTTCTCAACATTTTAGACAGCTTGGCATTTTCAAAACAGAGCTAGAATAATAGTATGTCAACAAGATTAACAAAAACCATCTCCAGTCATTTATTTCCCAGTCCATATTCAATTTAGCCCAATTATTTACAGAATGGCACTTTGGTTCATTTGTTGATTCAGGGCCGAGACGAGGTCCTCCCCGTGTGTCTACCAAGTCTGCAAGATTGGCCCCCTCAGCCTGCCCTGCAAAGGATTTTAGGACTTCAAAGGGTCCCAACGTGGAAGCAGCCCTCCTGCTCTTCTCTCTGTCCAAGCCCCAGGGCACCCAACCTGTGCCCTTGTGGGAGTGGAAACGGGTGAGGGTGGAAGCCCACAGGAGGAGCCTACTTCCCAAGGACAACAGAAGAGGCCTGCTGGTGTCCCTGCACGTAAGCAGAGAACAGGTACAGCGAGAAGGCTTTCTGCCACCTAACTGGCTTTCCCTCCAGACACAGCCTGGTCCACACAGAGAAGGAAATGCCTTGACCCCGAGCTGTTGACTTCAAGCTTGAAGCCGATGATAGTATCTGCAATTCTAGGTAAGAGGAGGGCAAGTCTGGGGTTTGGACAGGATGTGAGGCTGCAGGAAGCAAAGCTAGTAAAGCCTGGGGGAGGACCTCTGACCTCTGACATTAACACCCCCTGAAAGGGGACTCCCTGCCCAGTCACGTATCATGAGAAGATGGGGTCAGTAAGAGCTCTCTGGACAAGAAGAGACCTGAAAGAACTTTACAAATCAGCAGGGGGGACGCCGGTGGTGGCAGCCATCCCTGCACCCAGCTGAGTAAGGGCAAGGGCAGACGTGAGATTTGCCACAATTACAAAGAGAGCAGAACACAGCAAAAGGTGCTATACTAACACATCAGGCAAGGAAACGATGATTTGACCAACATAGAATATAAGGAAACCTTGCAGGTATATAGAAGCCAGCTTCCAAAGAGCACAAAAGCCTTGCTCAACTGTAATCTTATCTAACCTAGTGTTGGTACTATGTGGAAACCATAAACCAAGTTTTCCCTCAGATAATCATGGCAATACATAAGTACAGAGACAGGAGACATTTAACAGTGCCACATGCTGGCAAGGAGAACCTGGAGCCACTGGCCCCAAACTCATGGCTGTCCGCACATGGCTTTAGAATTTGCATATCTACCCTCAACCTCCCATCTCAAGGTCAGGCAGTGGGACCGGTACCTGTGGTTTCCGGGTTGGGGTAGGGACTCTTATCCTCACTCTCATTGGGCTGGAGGTCATCCATGTTGATCTAGGCAGCCAAGGAGGGGAAGAAGAAGAAGTTAGATAAGTTCCACAGTTTTAGAGGCTCAGAGTAGCCTTGAAATTGCACAACAATCAGTGGCTGAGCTCAAAAACCCACCTTTGTCACCTGAAACATCCTCTTCAGACACCAGCAGAGGCCTGGAGTCAGCCAAGTGCATCGGCTCTATTCCCACCGAGTGGCCTCCCTCTGTCTTCTTAGGAAGACCGTGGCCCCCATTCCCTCAGCAGTGGCCACAGCTCCTGGAAGGAGATGGCGACTCACCTTGGTGGTAGGCGGGGACTCTCCATCAGCTGTAATGGATTTCAGCTCAATTTTCTCCTCCTTGGCCTCCTCCAGGGCCGGCTTCCCTACCACCTCTTGTTTCTTCTCCGGGCTGGCAGTCCTGGCCGGTCAGCAGGAGGAAAAGAGAAATGGATGTTTACTGGGGTGGCAAGGAGCTGTTCTGGGGTCTACTGGGCTAGCGGGAGCACAGTCCTTGCATGGACATCCAGGGCACATTGCGTGTGCAACTTAATCACAAGTGCACCTGGCTTGCCTGGCACTCAATGGGCCCCTTCCAGCCGCTGCTCCAGTTCATTCATCCAAGAATGATTCTGGCTCTCATTTAGGATTGGTTCCTGGAGGAACACTACTCGGTGCCAGGTGGATGCGTGGCCTATGACTGTCCCACCTAGACACTGACGGGACACTCAATGCAGGGCCCACTCTTGCTTTCTTATCACTGGAAATGAAGTAGAAAACACCGAGGAGGCAGCGCTCTGAAAGCTGTGATTCTGCTTCCCCTCCGAGGGGGCTGCCTTCCTCCTTCCCCACCCTACATTCCTACCACCTCTGATGGCTTCTCTGGTGGGGGAAATGCAACACCTTGGTGGGGACTGCAATCCACACGGTCCTTCTTTAGAGCACCACCCAGGAATTGAGAGAGGCCCAAGTTACTGCAGGAAGCCTTAGGCCCAGGGCCCTCCTAGGAGTGAAGGGATCGGGGGCCAGCACCAAGCCTCCCTGACCCTCCAGTGGGAACGTATTCCAGAACTGGGATTCTGGGGCCTTGGCCTGGGTGAGTGTAGAGGGTTACCTGGCCAGCTTCTTTCTCTCCTTCTCTTCTTCCTCTTCCTTTTGGGCAGAAGTAAGGCTCTCAGCATCAGCCAGGTTGTCCACAGCAATGGCCAAGAACACATTCAGTAGGATATCTGTTTGTGTCCATTCTTAAAGAAAATGATGCTTGGCCTTGGGGGTATTTGGCGGGCATAGGGGACAAGGAAGAAGCAGGAGACACAGGGGTAGAGTTCCCCAGCAAAGACAGCCTGACACTGACCCACTTTGACAAAGCCCAACAGTGACCCTCTCCCTTTCCTTCTCCATAACCCTATTAGCCACCTGGAGTATCCTACAAGGTTGAGACCAGGCAAGCTTGCAGGTTGGAGCGGGGTGGGAGTGAGGTAGCAAGCCCTGCCTTGCTCTTTAATTGCGGGGTTTTATTGTTGGGTGTCCCCCGAGAGAACTGCTGTGACTGATACTGTCAACAGTATTGTCTCTAATAGAAGGCAGAATGCTCTTAAAAGTGGTTATTATAACTGGCACTGAGGAGGTAGCCTGGCATCTCTGCCAAGCCTCTATGTGAACCCACACATACAAAGACCCTTGGAGGGTCTGCCTGGAGCTGGCCAGAGCTTGGGAATTCCAAACCAAAGCAGTTATTTGCCCACTTCTTCCCACCCTGCCTCCCTCCCTCACCCCCAACAATAGAAACACAGGTTCAGAGAAAGTACAGCTGGACAGGGTCTTCAAGTTCATGTTGTTGACCTCTACCCCCAGGTGCCAGCCATCCCCATCATTTCTCGTATAGGGAAACTGAAACCCAAGCAGGTAACAGGCTCGTCCCAGGAAGTGCAGACCCCAGGGGCCTTGTCTGCATCATCCCACAACAACTCAGAATGATCTCCTAAGTAGCAGTCAGTTATTGTTACTCTACTACAGGCTGAGGTCCCCTTAGCCAAAATGGTTGGGAGGACCATAAGTGTTTCCGATTCCTGTCCCCCAGCCCACTTTTTTTGTTTGCATGTTGGAATATTTGCATAGATCTAAGGAGCTATCTTGGGGATGGGGCCTAAGTCGAAACACAAAATTCATTTATGTTTCATAATGTATCTTATACAAGAGTACTTTGAGAAAGTTTGTGGAGAAGCAGCACTGAAAGATGTTTATTTTGGTGCCAAAAAATGGAAATCCTTACATAGCTGTTCACAATATGCATTTTCCATGACCTTTTGAAAGATCTCTCTTAGGCATGGCTCTCAACGTGTTTTGCATCAAAACAGACATCTTTTCAGTTTCCCATGAACCTTTTGAAGTACCCTCAGATACATAGCCAGAAGAAAACTTTATATCAGGTTTTTAATAATTTGTGCATGAAACAAAGTTTCACGGTGTGGAATTTTCCACTTGTGGCATCAGGTCAGAGCTCTAGAAGTTCCCAATTTTCCAGCACTTCAGATTTCAGATTCTTGGATCAGGGATGCTCATCCCAGACCACAATTCAGTTACTCAGGTAGAGCCTGTGGTTTGCCGAGGCCGCCCAGCTGGCCAGTGGGAAGCCTTGTCTGTAGGCCTCACTGTCTACGTGTGCTTTACCTGGAACTGCTGTCTAACTCCTGAGTCTCTGGCCAGCGCTCTTCTACTTTCCCTCCCCGCCTCTGGACATAGTGCTCCCGTGGCCCAGCTCAGGGAGTGTCTGCAGAGTCTGCCTGCGGAAGCCTGGGCTGCTCTGCCTGTGACTAAACGTCCTGGGGAGCAGTTTCAGAGGGAGGGACACTGAGGGTAAAGCAGGGAGGAGAGATGAAGGTCATTTCAAGGACAAAGGCTTGGTCATCCCTCACTGAGCAGGTGCAACAGCCCCCCCATGGAAGCGGCGTGCCCAACTCCACAGAGGCCTCTGGGTGAGTAGCTGCCCACACCACAACACCAGGGGGCGGTGTTCACCTAGATTAACACCAGAACCCGCCTGTGGAGTCGAGCAATGAGGCAGCCTGAACCGGCTCAGGAACAGAAATGTGCATCCTCACACCAAAGCTGAGGTTTCCACCCACGCCCACCTCCACCGCCAAAGCAGCCCTAGTCTGGGACACGTTTCTTCCCCAGAACAGCCTCCCCCAGCTCGCCGGGACACCCAGTGCTCTGTGTCCCGTGCTAGGCCCAGCAGGCACACCAGTTTGGCATTGTGCCACAGGCTGAGGGGGGCGGGCAGAGGGGTTGGGGTCAGCAGCAAAGGATACAATTTCCACAGATGAAGAGGATGATGAAGTAAATACAGACTAACATCCCTGGAAAAGAGGGGCCGCCATAAGCCATGATCCCATCATACATCACCGAATTCCAGTCCTCCCCGGTCAGGATCTGAATGACACATTCCCACCAATAAGGGACACAGCGTTAGACCAACAGCAAACCCCAAAACGCCCCTGCCCTGCCCTGCCCCTCTATGTTAATAAAAATGTCCAAAGTCTCTTTTCATCTGCTCTCCCTCCTCCTGGCCCCCAGGTCTCCACCCCAGGGGCTCTGAGCTATTAACCTGGGTGAGTTTGTTGCTATCCTCAGGCAAAGTGTGTGGCTATAGGCATCGTTATTTGATCAAAACCCCTCCTACTGTCCACACACAGTGCATGAGCTGACCCCGGGAGCCACACCTCGGGCTGGGCTTTGGGCCCCTTTACTGTTTTGAATGCATTTGTTTAGATCGTATTAAACTGCACCAGCCAGTTTTTCCCAAACACCAGTCATGGGGGTACTACCTTTAAGGTTTTTGGTACCGCCTACATTATTTTTCATTTTACTCTATAAACCAAATCAGTTTCAAGTTTAGTAAGTGCCATGAAAGTTTTTCCCTAAGTCGAGATCACTACAAAATCACAAGTTTGAAGGACTAGTTATATTTGCTTCCCTGGGGCAAGTGTGTGAGTAGCCAAGTCAGAGCTCCTCCAGCCTCCCCTCCCCCAACAAGAGCAGCCAGGGCTTCACGCAGAATTTATCTGACCCAAGGGTTCCATGGCGTAGAGTGAAGTTTTAAGCTACTCCCTTAGATTTCTCCTGTAAGAGTTCACCACCAACACCCCCGCCCCCTGGGGGGGGGTCTCCATGGGGCTGGCAGGAGGGGACACTACACAGGGGACCCAGGGCCCGTCAGGGATGACTGCCCAGGCTGGCTCTGCTTGCCCGGCAGCAGGCCAGGCTTCCTGCTACCTTGTCAAGGCCCCTCCCACCACCCTCCCCACCTCCTTAGCACTCTGCCACCCTCCCGGAAGAAACTGTACCTGAAACACGGTGAGCAGGGACTGCGGGAAATTGTCGAACGTGCTCCTCCGGGTCTGCATCTCATCGAAGTTGAACTTGCCTCCAAACAGCTGCATCCCCAGCAGGGAGAAGATGATGATGAAGAGGAAGAGGAGCAGGAGCAGGGAGGCGATGGAGCGCACCGAGTTCAGCAGGGAGGCCACCAGGTTGCTCAAGGAGTTCCAGTACCTGGAGCCCAACACAGGGAGGGAGGTCAGCTGCCTTTCCCTTCAGGCTCCCGCCTGCCCATCCTTCCTCATAACTCCCTGCCTGTCCGCTGCTACAGGTCCCAAGAAGGTTCCCACTCCCTGCTCTTCCCTTTCCCCGGGTGGGGACAGGATGGGGAGGGGGGGTGTGGGTGAGTGTGGAGCTTGTCGGTTCCCATCTCGGGACCAGTGATGTGTAACTTGGAGGAGAAGGGACTCAGGGCTCCAAGCCTGCTGACTGCATCACCCTTGGACAAGTCCCTTAGCTCCCCCACTTCCTTCTGCCTCCCTGTCTGAGAAATGGAGATGCCACTGGGCTACTGGGAAGATTACATGATGTAACCCTCAGCTGCCCAGGAAAAGCCCCAGCACACAGTGGCTGAGGGTTAGTAACTCCGCCGCTGGGCTTCAAGCAGAAACAAAGCACTTTCTTCCCAAGAGTGCCAGTCTGAACTGAGCCTGGGCAACAGTTGTCCAGCACGGACCCGAGTCAGGTCACTCATGTTTGAGCAAAGTTTCCCACGTTTACTGTCTTAAGTATGGGTTGGGTAAAAGCTAGTCTTCTGGAAATTCTGATTCAGTAGCTAGAGTTTGGGCCCCAAAAATCTGGATTTTCAATGAGGATCCCACAGGACTCTGAGAAGGAAGTCTCAGATTGTAACAAACCCGTCACAGCCTCGGGGGACAGGTCAACATACATGTCCTCCGTGAGTGGCCCAGGCAGCTCTGCCACAAGCAGAGAGCGGCTTCAGGTGGGATCCTTGGAGCAGGACCAGCAATCTTTCCTCTGCTAATACAGAGGCGCTCACCATAGCTTAGGGAAATCCCTTTCTCAGGGAAAAGTGAGTGAGGGGAACCTACTAACAGCTACTGACAGTGGCTTGGGCACCTGTGCAAGGGTCAGTTCAGGACCAGGAAATGCACTGTAGCAAAAGGGATACAGTCCCTGCTGGGAGCAAGTACAAAAACCAGAAAAATCGCATTTCCCTATGGCTCCTGGGCTGGCCTTCCAAGCCACTGACTTTTGACTTCCCCCATTAGAGATCCCAGCTCATCACTAGCTTAAGTGGATGATGTGTGAACCACCCCATGGCAGAGCCCACAGCTGTGCCCTTAGTCCAGTCACTTCTCCAGAGAATACCCCCAAGTTAAGTGCAGGAGCAGATGGGCCAATGGTTTATTGGGGGGAAGGGAAAAAGAAAGAGAGAGAACACGCTCCCATCCACTGGCCCACTCCCCAAATCCCCAAATGCCCACAATGACTGGGGCTGAGCTGAGACTGAAGCTTAGAGCCAGGAACTCCATCCACGTCTCCCATATGGGTAGCAAAGACCTAACTATTTGAGCTATCACTGCTGTGTCCTGGGGTCTGCATTGGCAGGAGCCAGGGCCAGGCAACAAATCCAGGCACTCCAGTGTTGGAGGCAGCCATCTTACCACCAGGCTCAAAGCCTACCCCAGAAGCTGCAGCCTTGCCCACTCTTTCTCCTTCACAAATTCATTTCCTCTCCCTTTTACCTGCCAGCCACAACTCCTCCTCTGCAGGAGAATGTTAATCTACATTTATTTGTATGTGTTCTAGGCATACTCTGCAATGTTACTTACTTGTGACAGTCTTGTTTAATCCAAATAGGCTCTGAGCCCAGAGGCTTCTCCTCTGTCTTCCCCATCTTTGGCCCCAAATCAATTTTGCATAACCCAGTATGTGTGATGGGCTGTGTGGGGTCCTAATGGGTTAGAGGGCAAAGTGTTCTGCTTGAAGAAGGAAGGAAGAAAAACTCTCTGGGGTACAATGCCCTCTGCTCCTAAGCTCAAAGCAGCCTTCCCCAACCTGCCTGGAAATCAAAACCAGCTGGGGAGCTTCTTCATCTTCTAAACCCCAGTCCCACTCTGGAACCGTGACATCACGACCATGGAGCTGGGGCTTGGCGGAGCCCCATGCAGCCAGCCCAGCCCTCACTGGTGCCTCATGGGCATTAAAGCTCCAACTGTAGCAGTTATTTATTTAAGGAACCAGTAATTTTAGAGCATGTTTATAACAAAAATTTCCAAATAAACCACATGGGAAGGCTTCTGCATGTGGACTAAGGTCACAGAGCCCTGTGGAGAGCCACAGTATCATGTTCAATTGTCATGGAATATTCTGGAAAAGTCTTAATGGCTGTGGGAGGGTAGAGCCTTAATTTTCATGAGGTACATGGACAGGAGGGAAATAACTCAACCCAGGCTCATTTCTCTGTCCTATCTCTCAAGGTAGCGAGACAGGAAGCACCTGAATCCACAGAGGAAGTCTTCATAAATGGGGAAGAAGTTTGGCAGTGCGGACCAGTGTAGGAGGCAGAGAGGGGAGGGGAGGTGGGAGGGGCATCTCCTGAGGGAGGAGCCTCTCAGAGAGCCTGGGCTTCTAGGGAAGAGGCGGCTGTGGTGGAGAAACAAACTGAGCCATCCACTAGCGGAGAACTCTATTCTGAAATGGTTGGCATGAGCAGTGGCAAGTAGTGACACTCTACAGGGGCCAGCAGAGAAACCAGCGTAAGAGCAGGGATGGCCAAGGGAGGCTGAAAATGGCCAAGGATTCTATTAAAAGTGAGAACTGGAACAGGTGTTCAGCTTAGTGGTGAAGGTGCCGGTATCCCACATTGGAGTGTCTGGGTTTGATTCCCAGCTCTGGCTCCTGACTCCAGCTTCCTGCTAATGCAGACTCTGGGAGGCAGCAGTGCTGGCTCAAGCAGCTGGGCCTTCATTTATCGCTGATAGAAAGGAGTTTTGTAGGTGCCCAGGCGGCAGCCTGACGGGTGGGTGGAGTGACACGGAATACCACATGGGGGAACTGGCTGGTAGCCCTACAGATCTTCACACTCTGAGCTCGTTAGCATCCTTTGGATTCCATGGCAGCGCCATTATGGCCTGAGATGAGACAATGGCCTCTCACGTACCAGAACCTCCCTCCTGTTTAGGAAGACTGGCTGGTAGCAAGGTAGAGTGGTCAATGGCACGTTAACCACGACTTACTGAAGCTTTGATCCTAAAGGGTCCAAGATATGAAATCACACATCCACATGCCAACAGTGAGCCACTTCAAGTACACGGTGTCTTGGTCATGGCACACTGAGGACTGAGAAGACCTGAGCCAAGAGCACTATCACCACTTCAGAACAGGCTCAGGGCACCCACAGAGATCTATACTCAGCGTTCGGGTTCACAGGGCCCAAAGTGCAGGCCAGCTGCAGAGGCGCCCCTCCCCTCCTCACATGCTCCACCCACCCCACCCTCCGCCTTGGTGTCAACTTTTCTTTCCCATCCTCTGGCCACTCTGAATCATTCTCTTCAAAGCACAGGCGTTTGTCTACCCAAACCACACCCATCTATTTATGTTTGAGGGCTTCTAATCACATCCCCTTCTTTGTTAGGAAACATCTCCCCATGCCCAACAGCCTTCCTGTAGGTTCTGTCGCTTGCTCACCACCCATTCACTTTTGCTACCATTCTCCTCTGCCTCTCTGGGTTTAAGTTACCATCATCTGTTCACGTATACTTTTATCCTCATTTGTTTTTCCTCCTCTAAGTCTATCTCTGAGCTTGAGGCTCTATGGATTGCTACCTCCTTTTCTGCAATATAAAGAGATCCTTGCCTTCCTTGAATTGGAGCTTTCATCTCATGAGTCTTTTGCTTCAAAGAGCTCAGAGTGTGGTCCTTTCTCTTTATTCTAGGTATAGAACAGAGCCTTGAACTTTCTATAAATAAAATATCTTCAAAAACCAGCACCAACCACTTTGGGGTACTTTGCAAATGCTTCACTGTCCTTCCTCTCCATTGCAGAGAGGGTCATAACTAAATTTATACCTGACCCAGTCATTCCTTTCCTGAAAGGTAAAGACAAAATCCTCTTAGTCTCACTGGCAAGTGATCTATTGGAAGAATATTTATAAAGTAAATTTCACGGGATGAGTCTGTGAGATGTGGACTTCATGGGAGGGGATGAAGCCAGGAGGAATGGGAGTTAGGTGAAATGACCTGGGAAGCAGGTAGAGGGAAGCCCTGGTCCTTTAAGACTCAATAAGGCCTGGAGGGATTCGTTTAACAGGAGGCTGAACTAAGCATATTCTGGGCCAGAAGAAAACACAGAGAATTCTAGACTGTCTAGGTGAGTGTCTGGAACAGCCTGGGGGTGACAGCCTCATCCACTGGCTGAGTTCCTGTTGGTCTCTGCCTCTGCTCCCTCAACTTCACTCTTAGTCATACCTGGCTTGGCTAACAAGTTCACAGGTTTTGTCTAACCTGTTTGCATCTGATGCCTTGGTCACATAGAGCCTGCACCTGGCCAAATAGCAAGGCAGCCTGGCCTTGACCTTGGGATGGCTGTAGGAGGGTGCCCCTTAGAACTGCTGGACCAGGAGCTCCTCAGGGTCACTTAGCTGTGCCCTACAGCCATGAAAGTGTCAGGAATGGGGAGGGAGCACATTCAAGTCCTCTCCCGAGCATCTTCCTGGTCCCCAGGAGGTGATACACTCAGCCCCCATCACAGAGAATAACCGCCCTCTAGGCCCGTGCCCAGCATGCAGCTCTTGTGTTTGAGCTGCCTTCTCCATAGATTCTTGGCCAAAAACTGGGCAAACACAAAACACTGACCTTCTTGTCCATACTTTCCCCATCTGCACATTCAACTAGATGTGAAATGAAAATATTTAGGGGGAAAACTTGTGTCTCTTTAGACCTTATCTTGTCATTACCAGGGGTGATGAGGCCTGTGAAATCATTTGGTCCGGCCTTGTCACAGCGATCACAGGTGGGACTCAAAAATTCTATGGCAGGCTAATTTTTAAGGTGATCAAGTTGTATGGCCTATGGATCATGCTATCAATAACCAAATGGCCCTTGGCAGATAAAGGTTCCCCACGCCTGCAGGCCTAAGCAATGCATACAGCAACTGTTTACATAGCAGTTGCACTGTAGTAGGTACAAGTAGTCTAGAGGAGGTTGGA